AAATCTTCTTGTCAAAACCCACATTGTAACACCATGTGTGTGATATTTTTATTTGTAGTTAATACACTCATATATTGACTTCCTAAATTTTGCTTTCAAAGCCAAAGTCATCATGATGTTTTTATTCTCCAGAAACATCCTCTTATAACAAAAAGGACGTATTTCCATGGAGAAGTTCCTCCTTTCCCTGTGTTGACTTCCCTTTTTTAAACTTGTCATACCACTATTTCTTTGTGTTACATTATATGATCATGATAACATTTACTTAATCAGGACTATTTCCTAAACATTTAGGAAACAATTTTGAGAAAATAGAGATGAAAACCTAATATTGAGCAACTTTTAAAAACCTTTAAAAACCGCCCAAAGCCAATATTTTGGAAGAATACTTAGTATAACTTGAAATGATTTAAATCACTGCAAATTGCTTAAATAATCCAAATCTTCACTATAAATACAGTAACAACAGAAGTTGGAGGGGAATATATTGGATAGATATTAAAGAACGTCAAGTTAAGAGTTTATCCAATTTTGCATCTCATAAATTCTGTCCTAGCCCTTTATACATAGTGAGTGGTTAGTTAAGGTCTATTGAATTGAGATCCACTATCTCTTCATTTTCTGTTCTGTCCTGGGCCTTTTATTTACTGACCTCCTTACACACCAGTTAGTAGTGAATTTGTCCACATAGGTCATGGAAACACCTTGAGATGCATTTAAGAGCATTCCAGTGAAGGTAACATCTAAACTGGTTTCTGACCAACAGCCTTCAGTGACTAAGTCCTGCCTCCCTCTCCCAGCTCCATCTCTCCCCTCTCTCTACCTCTAAGCTCCAGATATATGAATTGCTGGCTGCTTCCAGTAGATGCTCATTCCAGCCTTGATGCCTTTGTTGATTCAGTCATCTTCTGGAGTGTTTCCCCCATCCTTAGATCTCCCAGTTCACCTGGAAAAATCTCATCCATCTTTTAAGATTCAACTCAAGAGTTACCTTCCCCCCAGAGAAACTTTCCTGAAGTTCTTCTCTGAGAATTTGGCCCACCCCTTGAGAAACAAGCCTAGGAATCCCACTTCTGTGCTCCTATCATATCCTGGGCTTACGCTTCATGGGATTTATCCACCTGCTTTATAATTTCCTGTAAGTGTCTGCTTCTCCTGTTAGACTGAAAGTTTGGTGGTAGTGGAAAGCATCTCATACGTTTTTTGTGTCCTTTGAACCTAACGTGATTCTAACTCATAAATGCTAATTTAAAAATAAATAGATGGAGAAAAAAAGGGAAGGAAAGATTTAAATAGTAAAGAAATTGATCTGTTGGAAAGATAACTTTAGAAGCAATATGAAGCATTATGCTGTACAGAAATTGACACATTGTAAACTGACTATATTTCAATAAATATATATATATATATATGCACACACACAAAAAGAAGCTTATGAAAGATGAAGGTATTTTTCAGGACTCTTTTCCTGTGAGTGATGGAATCACAACTCAAACTGACTTAATAAGAGAAGAGGCTTTATTGCTATATAGCAATAAAAGTCAATGGGTTAGGTAGAACAAAGGTAGACACAGGTGCTCAAACAACATTCCCAAAAATCTTGTCTGCGCTTTCCTCTGTGACAGTCCATTCTTGGATAGGCTCCCCCAAATGGTGGCAAGACTCCAGGTTTGCATCTTTGCACTTAGCAATCCCAGCGAGAAGCAAGAGCCTGCTGCACAACTGGCATTGTCTCATCGGCCAATCTTAACTCTTTTGCTCCACTGTGAACCCATATTGGCCTGGGCAAGGGCACAGGAGGGAAGGAGGGAGAAACACCACCGTAGGGTCACAAACTCCTTGTCTTGAGCTCAGAATTGAAATCATCTCACCTTAATCACATGGATTGATAAGGGCAGGGGTGAGGATTTCCAAAGGAAAACCAGGGTTCTGTTTTAAGAAGGAGGAAGAGAAGGGTGGGTGGCAGACAAAACAGCAGATGTAATAGAGGTTGGTGGGGGAGGTTAACACTGGGCTCAACTGAGTGCCCTTAGACAGAGGGGTGGGAGATCTTGGGATCTAGGGACATGTTCAGTCGTCTTTATTTTCTCCCTTCGGTGTTAGAACCGTCAGACAACAAACTACAGCTGTTAGGAAGTGGGAGGGATGGCAGTGGCAATTATGTCAGCAAAGCTCCTAAAGCAAGTCCGGATAAAGCAGAGTCACACCCTCATTCTTGTTGGCCAAGTCGCAAGATCTGTGCTTTGCTCAGAACAGCGACCCTAGATTTTGCAAGCATATTACACTGTATTAGTCAAATACGAAGGATGAAATTAAAAAATTACAAGGAAGATGGAATTTAGTAAACTAAGCTTCTACTTAGATAACATCATTTGGCTAGTGATCACATTGGTTTACAGCTTGTGAATATAAAAGCGGTGTTCAGGACATGTTAAAACAAAAAGCAATTTGCTTATCATAAAGGACTTTGTAACACTGGTGTTCTTAAAATTTTCTGAAACTTAGTTTAGGGCTATCATGAATTAAATAATGGAAAGTGGTATATTATAAAAGAAAAAAAAACCCACCTTTCTACTTCCTTCCTGAAAGCTAATGATTTTAATTTAACAAGTTCTAGGAGTCAAGTTATAGATAATTCTGCAGATAATGAGTTGATTCTGATGTATCTCATCTTTTTGGCTGCTACTGTAAATAAGCTGAAATTCTACTCTTCCTGAGTGTTTACTCAAGTCAGTATTTTGGGTTGGGTCTGGGAATCATTACAGCTAATATTTTTTATTGTTTGGGTAGCTAGCTGTTAATGCCCAAGGCAGAGAGAGAGTCTTTTCTCAAATATTTTCCCACAAATGCATTGGGGAGCATTTTACTCATTCCTATTTTATATGGGAATTGATAGTGAAATTTCAAACAACAGATTTGAAAAATCTATTCCAGGATTCTCAAAGAATACAGACACATCTTCCTTTCAAAATTTCTAATGCTGAAAATTTTTAAAGATAAATTGAGATGTTTCTTTAAAAAATATACATTTTTCCTATTTACATAAGGGTTTAATGTAGATTGTTGCTGTTTATGTAAGTATCATAATCAATTCAGGCTGCTATAACAAAATGCAATACACTGTGTGACTTAAACGACAAACATTTATATCCCCCAGTTCTGGAGGCTGGGAAGCAAGATCAAAGTGTCTACAGATTCAGCATTCAGTGAGAATTCTCTTCCTGGTTGGCAGATAGTCACCCTGATGCTGTATCCTCACACTGCAGAGACAGGGAGAGAATAAGCTCTCAGGGTGCCTTTTCTTATAAAGGCACTAATCCCATCATGAGGACCCCACCCTGATGACCTCCTATAAACCTAATTACCTCCAAAAGGACCCACCTCATTATATCATCACAATGGGATACAGGGCTTCAACATATGAATTTTGGGGAGTCCATAACAGTAAGGCTGTAAAATACTTCTCTTTTATTTATTTAACAGATATTTATATAGCACTTAGTATGTTCTACAAGTGTTAACACATTTAATGTTCATAACCACCCTGTGAGGCAGGCACTATTATTAGCTCTCTTTTACAGAGGAAAAGCAAAAGCAGAGAGAGATTAAATAAATTGCCCTTGGCCCCAAGGTCATGTGGCAAGGCAGTGTGCAGCTGAGATTTCAGCTCTGACAGCTTGACAAGCTCTCTCTGTTCCTAAGGCAGACCCACTCCCTCAGCTCCCCTTCTCACCCCACCCACACAGTATCTCACACATCCCCGGGGGTCCTCATCTACCCTTGAGGATCAGTTTAAACGATCTACAGTTTAATCCAGAAAGGGTTATTGAAGCCAATAGTGAAAACTGAATTATCCAGTGAGAAAGCCTTACCCATAAAGAATTTGAAATGCTTTACTGACATTTTAAATAGCTAAAGTACATTGAGAGTTGATTCTCAAGACAGAATCCATCCCAGGAAAGAGGCAAACTTGTAGGACATGGAACGAAATATACTAGTAATTTAGGGCATACATATTTGAAAAATGTATCTGTTTGCTGCTTATAATAAAATCCTTAGGGAATCCCTAGGTACTTTGTGATGTTTATGATCTTTTCTATCCACGGACAGGTCTAGAAAAAGGTGAAGGGATCTCCTGAGCTCAGCAGGGCTCCTTATAGCCAAAAGTAACTGTCACAAATGAAAACAACCCTATACAACAAAAAGTGGTGCTCATGGAATTACTAGAATTTAAGTTCCAGAATTTCAGAGAGGAAAGATAAGAGATTACAACACTGTATCCTAAAATAAACACTGAATTAACCTGTGCAATGGTCTTTCCTCACCCTACCCCCAGGGCCCACGTGGAAAAACAGCAGCACTGAGCGTGATTTATTTGAGATCCTAAGGCACTAGGACTAGTTTGTCCAAACGTTCTTACACATAAACAGATGGATTTTTAAAGCCTGAGTATATTCCAGTGATAAATAAAATCTGAAAAAAAACAAATTAAAGAGGAAGACAGATACCCAAAAGAGGCTGCCATTCCCGCCTAAATTGAGATGTTTCTTTAAAAAATATACATTTTTCCTATTTACATAAGGGTTTAATGTAGATTGTTGCTGTTTATGTAAGTATCATAATCAATTCTTACAATCCCCAAAACAGAAGTGTTTTAGGCAGAAGTAACTCTTCCTTCTTAAAGTCGTGGTGCGGTACCTACACTGGTCTAAAAGGCCTGACACTCCCCGTCCGGAAACCAGGGGTGATCGGGTGCTTACAGGCTCCTCTAAGGCGGTAGCCCCAACTTGGCAGCGACTCACTGCCTGCGTGCGGATTTGGAACAAAGACGTCACCCCCGCGTCCGCGGATTAGGCGGGAGTGGGGCGGGCGGGGCCGGGCCCCAGCGCTCTCCCTCCGCGGCGGGGCGGCGTCTTCCTTCCGGATCCGAGAACGATCCGTGCGTCCGGGAATCTCCCTGCGCCGGGCTGCCAGCTCCTA